CAATTTACATGGGGCCGTTCGTTGCTAGCGTCCCACTTATGGGACGATGTATTTTGCACTTAAAATGTTAATATTTTAGAAGATATGCATTTTCCTGTGCGCATGTTTTCTTTTTTCCACCATTTTGACAAGTCCTGCAAATCCGGCCCTATAACATTTTTCTAAATTAATTTTTTTCACAAAACACACACAAATACAATAGTCTAGCCATTTTCAAATACAATGAAACATAATTTGTGTTTTAACAAGTGGGACGCTAGCAGAATATGGGTTAATTGACAGCCATTTATATACGGAACATTTTTTTGTTAATGAAGTTTATTTTAAAAGGGCGTCGGTTCCACTACTGGTTCTGTGATTAAACGTTAAAATAAGCAACACGCAACTAGAGGAAGATTTTGCATGCTTAGGCATTATTGTCAATTATGAAGGAGACTGCACCTATGAAATTAAAACAGGCATTTAAAATGCTAAGCTTGCCTTTGCCAATAAGAAAGAAACATGTCTATCAAGCAAATTTGACTCCTAGACCAAATGCAGAATTCTAAAAAAGTAATGTCCTTAGCGTCTAATTGTATGGCAGAAAATGCTGGAAAGTAACCTCCTCTACCAGAAACAGAAAATTACTTAGATTTTACCAAAGTGTTTGCAAAGAATAAAAGGCATGCACTGGCCTTACACGATCTGCAGTAATAGACTACAATGTGAGATGGAATTCAACGCAGTTTTCAAATTTATTGAAAAAAGGGCACGTCTTAAGAATGAGTCCCAATAATACCGCAGAAATATCACTAAACTGGACGCCCCAAGGAAAAGCAAACATATAATTCCAAGGGGGACATCGAGGCGCACAGTGGAACAGCAACTGACTAAGGCAGGACTATGTTGGAGGACTGCCAAGACAATTGCAAGCGATAAGCAAAACCTGAAAGAACTTTCTGTGGCGGAACCACGTGTCGTAGACACATAATGGAAAATACAATGATGTGTTATTACTCAGGAAAAGCGGTTTAAACATTGATATATTAAGTACCCCTGACTCCCTGGGCAGAGCTCAAGATCATTAGACAAACTGCAACATAGCTCATAGCTACAGATAACTTACCATCACATTTACTGTGGTCGGTGCTATTTATTGTGTATCCAGGCATACAAAAACACAAGTAGCTTCCGTTTGTGTTTGTACATATTTGTTCACATGTATTTAGAGTTGAAATATAACATTCATCAATGTCTGAAACAGAAATGTTGATAATGATTTAGTAAAGAAATCGGTGTCAAGAAGGTATAGCTGAATGGGAATGCACCCTAAGGTGTAATTTCTTCATGTATTGTATAAAAGGGTAAGACTTACATATATATATATATATATATATATATATATATATATATATATATATATATATATATATATATATATATATATATATATATATATATATATATATTTATATACCTATATATATTTATATACCTATATATATAATTCCAAACCTCTTTCATAGCTTTCCTTAAATATTTTTATAGTACTTTCTTCAAAGTACTTTTTAGCATAACTTATAATTTTAGTCTTTGTTCCATCTATAATAAGCGGTTGCTACCATTCTATTTTTATTTTCTATTCTTTGTCTATTTGTATTAATTAAATAAAGTCTGATTGCTTTGTTGGTTGTCGTTTTTGTGATTTTTGGTTTTTAATATCTTCGTGTGTTTGCATTGTTTTTGTGTACTTACCTACAATCTACGTACATTTCTTTTTTTGAATTTGTGTTTCGTTGTCTTTTGTCGATACTAAGAATTGCCATCTGTGTATTTTTCCGCTTGCCATATTATTTATTTTAATATACTTGTTTAAGAAACATATTGTATAAATAAAAATTGGTCAAAACGCAATGCGCTCTACTAAACGTTAAATGATATTAGTAACAAAGCAGAGAAATAACTAAATAGCTGAAATCTGACACATTTAAAACAACATACCTATTGAAGAAACCAAATTATAAACATTTTTTGTCAACACAGTAACATATTAAATACACACACTGATTAAGAGAATTATATGATTCCTTTAAAAACCAGCTTTTCTATGGTATTAATGTGTTTTTTAAAGTAGTTTGTATTACTTTTGGCCGACAAAGTGTATACTTATCATAGAGTAGGCCTACGTCTTAATCTACGTCTTAATAAGTAGATCTATAGATCTAAATCCAATTTGAATGAAATAGTTCATTTCTTCATATTCTACAATTGAAACATGACGCCATTAGTTTTGTGTACTTTCCGTAGTTGAAATATGTGACATGTGAATTCGTTGTTTTTTTTGAGTCCCTGTCCCATTAACATTTTTTTTCCCTGTTGCATAATTTAGAATGTCTTTCTACATTTGAATATGTCTTTATTTTTATTTTCCTTCTTTAAATAAAATGAATATATAAATTTTTAAAGCATCTAACACATTTCCGTGTCTTTAAATGCTGAATATATCGCTGACAATATTGATCACTTTGCTTCAAATAGGAATATAAACAGAAAGTAATATTTCAACCCGAAGGTAGACAAAGGTACAGAAATCTTGCGGACAGATAGATAGATAGATAGAAAGAGAGAGAGAGAGAGAGAAGTTAGCACATGGACTTATGATAATAGCGTTCTTTTATTTTAGTGTGTTTCTATAATGCTGCATTATTTACAATTTTACAATTTTTGAACACTTTATCCCTGTCGTATTTAATCAGATTTGCATACAAACAACGTAGTGTGAAAATAATGTAGACTAATGATTTTTCTTCAACAGTACTTTGTGTTTTGGTTTATTTTGTACTATTAGATTCTATATTATTTTGTATAGACCTAGTGTCATTTTTTATTCCTGTACTCATATTAAACGGTTGTTGACAGATTAAAGTTGATGTCAGTCACATAAGTTCAGCGTGTTATTCCCCTAAATTTTATTCACGAGCCCACGTTGAGTTGTTTTTATTGTGTTTCACACTCCTTTGTAGTTGACATCTGTCATTAGGCTTCTCAAAACGAACTCGGGGCGTTCGCTAGCTCTGCGACTGACAGAACAGCGTTCGTAATAAAGAGAAAATTCCACATTTTCATAAACAAAATGCATAAGCTGTTATAATTCTTCTACAGACGCAGATCTTCAGTGAACTTGCTTATTCCCACGTTTTCTTTAACTTGCTTTCACGTCTGTTTGTTTGTTTTTCCAATCAAATCTTGCGATCGAAATTACGGGCACTTTCCAGTTGGCTAGCGCGCTGAAATTTTCAGGGAAGCTTTGTTTCCGATGGCAATACAATATTCAATTATTATTATTACTAAATTGATCCATGGAAAAATTTTATTGATCATTTTAAACCCCTATTGATTTGTACAAAAAAAAAACGTGGGAAAAAGGGACATAACCTAGTAATTGTAATTTGATAAATCAAGGTTTGGTACTTTCCCTCTTCTGGCTTACGATTGGAAAAGGCACGTGTTTTTTACGAGTTGTCTTCGTTTAGCCAATAGCAAGATTTTAATGCAAACAGACAAAGACTAAAAAGTAGAAAATAATTATCATTAAAAAAGTTTTTTAAAATCGACGTTTTCTGATTGAACTAAAAAGTAGAAAATAGATGCTATACATCACAATAATGCAAGCGATCACTCTAATATAAGCGATCGCTAACTGCGTGCGCATTATGACAAAAAAATGAAAAACGTGGGGCGCCGTGATTTTCTTACAGTTTTTAATACTGTTGACTCTCTACAAGCTCCCTAATAAAACTCAATAGTATTATCTAATCCAGGGGTCTCCAAACTACGGCCCGCGGGCCGGATGCGGCCCGCGATGTCCTCTCATCCGGCCCGCGGAAATCTTTTTGTCCATGGAAAAAACTTTTGTTGGTGATGGCTTAGGAACTTTGCCTAGAAAAATCAAAGACATGCCGGAAAGAACGTGGTCCCCGAACTGAAATTTGATTGCTAATGCGGCCCTCGGACTAAAAAGTTTGGAGACCCCTGATCTAATCAATAGTAATATAACGTTTACATGTTATATTAACAATGACCGATAAAAAACTTTTACTTCTGCGCCCCTCGTTTTTCATATATATATATATATATATATATATATATATATATATATATATATATATATATATATATATATATATATATATATATATATATATATATATATATATATATAAAATATATATATATATATATATATATATATATATATATATATATATATATATATATATATATATATATATATATAACTAATTCACTCAAGTTTATATTTTATTATTTCCTTTTGTAGTCATTTAACATATTTCATTAAAATGTAGGGTATAACAAACCATTAAAAAATGATCCCCGATCTCTTTAAAGGATAAAAAATAATATAATTTTTAAAAGCTTTAAACTTCAAATTTGGCATGTCGGTCAAGAGTATATGAAATACCGAAGCTTGATATGTTTATTAATTTATTGTGTATGTTTTGTTACAAATTGTTGTGTATGTATGTTATTAATTTAAAAAAAATATTATTATAACTACATTATTATTCAGTATAATTTATTTTTAAATAATAATTTTTTTTAAATTTTGTTAGTATAAAAAGATTAGGAAAAACAAGCATCAAATGTAACCAATTCTGAAGCCAAAACATGACATTGTCAAAAATCACCAAAATCGTTTATAAAGTGATTCTTTTTACATTGGATTGATACTATGTTTAAATTACAGTGCTAAGAAAATGTGCAAGACTGTGTTAGGGACAAGCTTCAAACACATTTCTAACATTATAGATGTTAAAAATAACAATAACGTCGGAACTCTAAAAATATAATATTTAGAGCGTAGTTATTGGAAATCTTCCGTACCTAATAATTTAGTTGAAATAAAAGTGTTAGTAATATTTTGATATATATATTGATATAAATAATGCAAAGAGCATCAGTCGACGCTTATTTCTTCACTAACCTTCACACCGATTTGGGTCCATAGTACTTATGCTGTATCCAGATTCGCAAGAACACATCATGCTTCCATTTGTGTTGGTACGTATCTGCTCACACGGATTTGTGTTATTTTTAACGCCTTCATTCATTTATGAAAATACAATTTAAAACAATGAAAATATAAATCAAAGTGTGTGTAATTTTTAACATTGTATAAATGTTGACGCTGTGTTTAAGCAGATTTTGGTACATTATCAATACTGTAACATTGTGTAATTATTAGAGAAACTCCAATTTAAGGATATTAACCCATGTTCTGCTAGCGTCCCACTTATGGGACGCTTGTAAAAAAAATTGCTAAAATTTATTAAAAACTAGTTAAAACACAAATTATGTTTCATTGTATTTGAAAATGGCTAGACTATTGAATTTGTGTGTGTTTTGTGAAAAAAATTAATTTAGAAAAATGTTATAGTGCCGGATTTGCAGGACTTGTCAAAATGGCGGAAAAAAGAAAACATGCGCACAGGAAAAAGCATATCTTCTAAAATATTAACATTTTAAGTGCAAAATACATTTGAAACTTGTAGCAGTACCATATTTCTATCTGATAAAAATTTAAGAATAAAAATTTTTTTTTACTACTTCGTTATATCAAGTGTACAACAAACGTCCCATAAGTGGGACGCTAGCAACGAATGGCCCCATGTAGATTGTTACACAAACGTCACATTTATTGGACACTAGCGAGAAACACAGATGCAAATGTTTATAAAAAATGGTCATTTATGGTGAAACAATTGTTGACTTTGTTAACTGCTGACTTTGGGGTGTTAGGTAGTATTTATAGATATTTAATTATGACCTTGACCTATATTTATGCAGATTGTTACACAATCATCACATTTATTGGACACTAGCAAGAAACACAGATGCAAATATTTATGTTAAATGGTTATTTATGGTGAAACAATTGTTGACTTTGTTAACTGTTGACTTTGGGGTGTTAAGTAGTATTTATAGATATTTAATTATGACCTTGAGCTATATTTTCTTATATATTATTGTATTAAAAAATTGCAAATATTGAAAAACTTACATTTTATTTTTAAGTTTTCAGAATTACACTTACTGAAGTATTTAATACCATTGAATACAAACTAATTTAGTATTGCTGTAAATTTACTAGCGCGTGATATTAAAATTATAACAAAACCAGAATAATAACAATGGCCATGATTTAGGTGAAATGATTCAGTCATGGGGGTTGGTTAACTCTCTTCATATAAGAGAGCTTAAGCTACATATAGCAGAAATGTGAATTAGCTGTGTAGCAGAAATGTGAATTAGCTGTGTACTGTTGTCATGCCCCAATAATATTCCCCTCCAAAGGTTCCCGATACCAGTTTTACTTTGTTAACTTTTTAAGGAGATTCCTGGTGTTAGATTGGGAGCCGTTCGCATAGTGAGGTGCATACATGGATGAGAGCCATGAACAACAATGCAAGCCCCCAGAGACGGATCCGTGCCCTAGAAATAAGATGTCTGATGTCCTAATGTACGCCTGTGAGGGGGGGGGGATAGCGAGGGTAACAAAAGAGAAGATGGCTGGATGACATCTGGGACTGGACCGGATCATCTTTTGCAATTTCACTGATGGCAGAGTTTCTTTCAGGCATCATTTCGGAGGAGAGGGGGGGGGGGGGGGGCTCTGCCCCCAGAACAAAATGTAATTTATTTACAAAACATACTTTTACCAATGTCCACCCTTCCCCTGAAATTTAAGTCACCACCCCTGAAAATTTCAAGTACGCCCAACAAAAAATCAATTATTTATATTTAATTATATTACAGTTTCGATGAATAATAACAATATTTGTGATCATGTGTGTCTAATTAGATGTACTAGTCACAGCTTTACTTATTTCCAAGTGTTATTCACTTTGATGGATGCTAGATTGAAAGAAAACTAGACTTTTGAACAGAATGTCTGCATTTTAGACCATGGTATGGCTAACCCAATTGATCATTATCAGTATTTTTAGCTGTCCTAAACAATGTAATCATTAGTCTAACAATACAAAATCAGTATACAGCTTAATTTTCACGTGAATAGCCATATTTCGTGATACATGATTTTATTTTTCAATAAATGTACATGGGGCCGTTCGTTGCTAGCGTCCCATTTATGGGACGTTTTTTAAAAAATCAATATTTAAAAAAGTATTGATTTTAAAAAAAAATCCATAGTCATTCCTTCATTCAGTGCCCAAAAGCTAAACCATATCAAAAAATTATAAAAATTTGAGACCTTGGGATAATATGGGTTAAGTATGTAGCAAAGTGCAATAATTTACTCTGCTCTAATAGTGTTGTTAAGGAACTACATTCACGTCTTTAAACAGAGTTTAACTGGTTTCTTACTTTGCAGTACATTATAGGACTAATTTTACATTGGTGGTCATGCCCCTATAGCTAAGACGACAGTGGAATCGCTAACTTGCGGGTGGCACGTTTTCGGGACACATCAAGACAAAGTTAATTTTTTTTCTTGATTTTTTTTTTAACGTGATTGATAAAGTTGCCTATCGGGACCTCGCGGGACACAGGGCAGGTGAAGAAGAGTTCACCTGTTTCTGTGTCCTCAGCTTTCAAAAGGATAGTGTGGTCAGATCCATTGTCGGCCGAAATCAGTGTTTTTAAAACAATAAAAGCATGTTGTCTGAGACTTGGTGGGAAACTGTGCAGTTGAAGTAGAGTTGGGCATGTGTAGAGTTCACCTGTTACGTCAGTATATGAAGAGATAGTGCAGTCAGACATATTCTTAGCCGAAATAAGTGTTTAAAAAGACAAAAACATGTCTGAGTGGGAGAGACACTAGACAGGTGAAGTAGAGTTGACCTGTTTTTGTTACCCTAGCTAATGAAGGGATAGTGTGGTCAGACCCATGCTCTGCCAAAATCTGTCTTTTTAAAAGACAAAAAAGTTGTCTGAGACTTGGCGGGACACTGGACAAGTGAAGTAGAGTTGGTGTGATGACGCAAGGTTGCGTCGGAGAGGTCAGGTAGATAGCAGAAACGGGCTATAGCGAGTTGGTCAGAGAGAGACCAATAAAAATACAGGAACTGACCGGTCACGTGGGACGGTCAGCTGACCACTGAGGTGTGGGTCAGTAGAGAGATTAGCAGCAGTTGATAGGTAGCTAGCGAGGAGAGAAGGTGTTAGGAAGCGGTCAGACAGAGACGGTCGAGATGTGTAGGGCTAGGTAACAGTTGATAATTAGTGAAGAGAACGGTCAGATAGGTAGATCTAGGAAACGGCAGACAGTAATAGTAGGGAGTATAGAATAGGCTAGTTAGTTAGGTAGAACTTGATTTTATAATTTCAATAAAGAACATTTTATATTTGAACTTGAACTTGCGTTATTGGATTCGTGACTCCTCTTAAAAATCCCCACCCTCAGGGAAGGGTAGGTGTATAGTTTACATGTGACGGCAGCATATGAAGGGATAGCGCTGTCAGACCCATCCTCAGCCGAAATCGGTGTTTTTAAAAGACAAAAAAAACTGAGGTGTGATGTCTTTTTTAATGTGGGGTCTGGTTTTTTTGTGACGATAAGTGACAGACGTGATGTCATTTACGAATGACCTTCCGAAACCCAGCCATCCAAAGAATGACGGGTTGTCTAGTTTAGTTATAATCGTTACGATTTCTTTTTCTCGGGGAAATTTAAATGCATGTTGCTAGAAATACTTGTATACGTTTTTAATTACATCAATAGTAGAGTCTAAAAATTATATTCAACATACTTTGCTTAAAGAATAAAACCACCAAAAACAGCAATGCTATTCCAATTATTGTGCATGACAGGAACATTTTTGCACTGAAAAAAACATAGATTAGAGCTAGTGTTATGTATATATTAACAAAGGTCTAGTTGTAGTTGTAGTTGTAGTTGTAGTTGTAGTTGTAGTTGTAGTTGTAGTTGTAGTTGTAGTTGTAGTTGTAGCTGTAGCTGTAGCTGTAGCTGTAGCTGTAGCTGTAGCTGTAGCTGTAGCTGTAGCTGTAGCTGTAGCTGTAGCTGTAGCTGTAGCTGTAGCTGTAGCTGTAGCTGTAGCTGTAGCTGTAGCTGTAGCTGTAGCTGTAGCTGTAGCTGTAGCTGTAGCTGTAGCTGTAGCTGTAGCTGTAGCTGTAGCTGTAGTTGTAGTTGTAGTTGTAGTTGTAGTTGTAGTTGTAGTTGTAGTTGTAGTTGTAGTTGTAGTTGTAGTTGTAGTTGTAGTTGTAGTTGTAGTTGTAGTTGCAGTTGCAGTTGCAGTTGCAGTTGCAGTTGCAGTTGCAGTTGCAGTAGCAGTTGTAGTTGTAGTTGTAGTTGTAGTTGTAGTTGTAGTTGTAGTTGTAGTTGTAGTTGTAGTTGTAGTTGTAGTTGTAGTTGTAGTTGTAGTTGTAGTTGTAGTTGTAGTTGTAGTTGTAGTTGCAGTTGCAGTAGTAGTTGTAGTTGTAGTTGTAGTTGTAGTTGCAGTTGCAGTTGCAGTTGCAGTAGCAGTTGTAGTTGTAGTTGCAGTTGCAGTTGCAGTTGCAGTTGCAGTTGTAGTTGTAGTTGTAGTTGTAGTTGTAGTTGTAGTTGTAGTTGTAGTTGTAGTTGTAGTTGTAGTTGTAGTTGTAGTTGTAGTTGTAGTTGTAGTTGTAGTTGTAGTTGTAGTTGTAGTTGTAGTTGTAGTTGTAGTTGTAGTTGTAGTTGTAGTTGTAGTTGTAGTTGTAGTTGTAGTTGTAGTTGTAGTTGTAGTTGTAGTTGTAGTTGTAGTTGTAGTTGTAGTTGTAGTTGTAGTTGTAGTTGTAGTTGTAGTTGTAGTTGTAGTTGTAGTTGTAGTTGTAGTTGTAGTTGTAGTTGTAGTTGTAGTTGTAGTTGTAGTTGTAGTTGTAGTTGTAGTTGTAGTTGTAGTTGTAGTTGTAGTTGTAGTTGTAGTTGTAGTTGTAGTTGTAGTTGTAGTTGTAGTTGTAGTTGTAGTTGTAGTTGTAGTTGTAGTTGTAGTTGTAGTTGTAGTTGTAGTTGTAGTTGTAGTTGTAGTTGTAGTTGTAGTTGTAGTTGTAGTTGTAGTTGTAGTTGTAGTTGTAGTTGTAGTTGTAGTTGTAGTTGTAGTTGTAGTTGTAGTTGTAGTTGTAGTTGTAGTTGTAGTTGCAGTCTGGGTATGGGTATAGGTCTTTGTCTTTATGTCTAAATTTTCTTATGTTTATTATGCTTTGCATTTCTAACCGATTCAAAATGAAACGACATACCTCTGTATATTGGTCGGAATCCTGACGAGAAGAGTCCGATAGCGAATGTAGAATCAAGCACAAATCTTTACGCTTATTCAGGTCTTAAAATAAATAGATAAATATATGCAGATTAACGCGCCAGCGACTCTTGAGGTCGCAGTAGACTATCAGTATCAACTGTATCGGGTTTCAGTGTTTTGGGTTTTTTATGCTAAAACTATAGAGATAAATATTTTTTGAAGCAGTGCTTTTTAAATTCTTTTGATGTCAATGTGACCTAACGCAATTCACGTATTTGATCTGTGTATTACATATATATTTGTTTTGCTGTCTATATTTAATATCATATGAAAATTTAGAATGACATTTTGAAAGTGATGTCCTTTTCTTCTTACCAAAGGTTCACTGAATTCCACCGAAATGTGGCAAGAGATTTGTTATCAGTCTGGTATAGTTGTGATCTAAAGACAGGTGGATCTCGTAAAGGTGGGAGTCCAGTACCGATGTTGCTAGACTCGTTTGTGGATTGGCACCGCATGTCTAAGTGTGTGTGTATGTGTGTGTGTGTATGTATGTGTACCTTTAAACACGATAACTTGAGTACCGTTACAGCTAGGTTGATGACATTTCATATATAAGTATTATATCAAAATGCATGGTGCTGTTGGCATCTCCGTGGTTTCCCGTGAGTGCTGTGGCTTTTTTTTAGTTTTAAGGAGCACCCTTTGATACTGACACGTCTGCACACGATGTTTGATGATCCAGGTGCCATACTCAGCGCCCCTGCCGTAGTGTAACAGTGGGCTCCCGAGAGCGCCCCTCTACGTGCCTAACACCTGCGGTCAATGAAGTGTGTTCTACCTCACTATAACGGAGAGCGATAAACGTAAACCCAAGGCTTACATACAACACGCCCTGTTGCGTGCTGGGCGGTAGTGTAGGTAAATCCGTGACCCGACACATTTGATCCAAGAAATATAGCGCAGGCATTGTAATAATTAAATAGCTTAGTTTTAGAATACAAGATCACAAGTCTAATAATATAGATTGGTAACGCATTGATGAAACCCTCTTAATATATTTCGTCAGACTTTCGTCTAAACCAGCGACAACGCGCGATTACGTTAACGCTAGTTGATAAATAAAACACGAACGCTTTGGTTTAATAAATACGAGATCTTCGTCTTCACTTTCTTATTTGTTAAAAAATGTTCAAGTTAATGTATTCAAAACAAAAAACAATTTTAGGAAGTTCAGGTTTCATTTTCAATTATTCCTGCCTCTTAATCCCTCTCGAGGACTGTTGGCTTAGACGTTAAAGTAGTTTTTTTAATCTATTTTGTTGACATTATAAATATTATGAAACAAAATAACCGCTCTTTTTATTTTCGTTAGATATTTCGGTGGCAGTCGTCCAACCCCCCCCCCCTCACCCACCGCCCCACCGAAGAAATGATTTATTCGTCTAACGGTAATAATCAAGACGCATATCTCCTTAAAAAAAGTATGTCTGTTCAGTAATCTACTTTTAAACTTAGCTATTTGTAGATAAATCCAAACTTTGACTAGCTGAGCTACATTTGTTCGATTTTTTCATCAAATAAAGTATATTAAGTAAAATAAAATAACTATTGTACACTCTTTTCGCCAACTATATATCAAGCTTGATACTTTTTATGTTCGCCATCAGTAGAATGATAATTAAGTACCGCGTTATGCTAAAACAATAGCAATAAAATATAACTCAGCATATTATACCATGTGGTTTAGAGCCCTACAGTGAATACACTTAACTAATATAATGTTACACACTAAATTCACGTGCATTAAGTATTAAGTCATGGCCAGAATACACCAGCACTGGTAGCTGCTATGGGTGGTATAGAAACAGAAGTGGCTACTTGTGGTTTGGTGGGGAGGGGATATTGGTGGTAAGATTTGGTTTGAGAAGTGGGTGCTGGTTGTGGTATTGTTGAGTACGTATTTGATTGGTGGTGGCGTTATGAACAGATTTAATTTCTTGAGGTAGGTCTTAAGGTAAAAAACAAATGTCTCATATGGTCTAATTTTTACTGAAGGCCAATCATTGCTGAGATAAAGGTAAATCAAGATGCACAAACTACAAATAGAAAATATTCAATTTGTTTTGTTTTGGTTAATGTTTTTAAGTCGAGAACTTAAGACGTTTTACTTGGAATGTGGCAGAACATGTTTAGATATTTTGTTGTGGGTGCTGAACTAATACTTTAATTCCAAGATATCCTTCAGCAAATAAACACGTCTGGCCTATTGTCCTATACAAAGCGCACAATAGAGACAGAAGTCGGGAATTCAATTGTGTCTATTTTAAGACAGTATTTTCTCCAAACAAAAAAAAATATGGGAAATAAAACTGTTTCCTCTGCCAGGCTGTGAAACTGGAGAACAAAAAAGTAGTGTAACATGCAAAAGAATTGTGCACGAAATGAACACAAATAGTGTGGTCGAGAAAGTAAAGAAACAGTGTATTTCAAACGATGACTTATCAATTATTAATTCAAACATTAAAGCTAAATTTAAAATAGCTGGTGACAGACTTTACTGAATCAATCTGTGAGCTAGTATTTGTCATTTTTGTGTTGAAAGTTTGACTTTCAGAGAATACAGTATATAGTGATAAGAAACTACTGATATTAGATATATACCGATTCATTTTCATAACATTAATATATGTAACTACTTAAACCTAATATGATTACTTTATTCACGTATGTTCATTTCTGTAACTAAGGAATAGTCTGACCTTTTTTTTCGTTCCAGTACTACGCTTCGTTATACTTATTTAATATACTTAAAAATATACTGTTACACATTCGCTTGAAATGAATATTATTATTGAAAGCATGAAGATTAATATGCTTTTATCTGGTGTTGGTAGTATTTAGATGTGTCTGTCTGTTGTTTGTATTTATAGTGGGAAATTGCCGTTTCTTCTCTTTAGATTTGAATAATCTATGTGATTGCTTTGTCTGTCTAGAATACTTGCATTTGACTCCTATACATAAATGTTTAACGTTTTTCTTTTTGAATGCTTGCTTTCTTGCCGTTGCTATTGTCAAATGTTATTTTGTTACCTAGGGTGTCGGTTGGTAAAAAATGACGTGTTGAGTGATGTAAATATTTTAGAGTTTCTTTTTCTCGAATTTTATTTCACTAATTTATCTTTTAATGCATTGGCAATATGTACTTTAGTTAACTGTGTTCAAGATATCCGAAGAAATTAAAAAATGAATATGCAAACTAATTTTTAATTATGAAACACTAAAAGTGTTTTTGTTGCGTCAAGAACGCAAAAAAAAGAAATAATGACATCACATGCCATATGTTTAAACTACAGAAAGAACACGAAACTAAAAGCGTCATCTTCTATTTCATTCCAATTTGTTTTTTAGATCTATTTATCTACTCATCAAAACGTTCGCTATAAATTGTATGCAATTACCTAGGCCAAAAGTAATACAAATAACTTAAAAAAAAAACAAGAGAAATACCATTGAATAGCCGAGTTTTTAACAGAATCAATTATGTCTATTAGTCAATGTGTGCATTTAATATGGTGTACCAACAGCTACATAGACGATAGACTTCTAGACATCCTTACATGACGACGACAAGACTTCTAGACATCCTTACATGACGACGACAAGACGCAGACTGACTTCTAACTATCTTCAAAACAACCAAAAAATTCTCTTTTACGTCACATCCTTATTTATTCACGCATTCATAATCTTTTATTAACACCACTACACACCTATTCTCAAACCATCGACAACTTTATTAACCCCATTCAACTACACACCTACTCTCAAACCATCGACAACTTTATTAACCCCGTTCAACCACACACATACTCTCAAACTCATTCCATACACTTAAGTCCATTCACAACATACCCCTCTCCTTTCTTCAGCTGAAAATACATACCAGAACTATCAAACTATTTTCAGCTTCAACTTTTTTCTTTCTCAGAAATGCACCCATACAATATGCTAAACATGCAACAAACACAATGTTCTGTGGTCTATGATAAATCATCAACATCTTTTGGTCCCATCCAACATCTTGGCCACACAAATCTTTTGGTCCCATCACACCCTTTGTCCACACATCGACTTATGCATCTGGTTTCTTGTCTCTGGACATCAACACACAAAAAAATAATCCAGGACCAACATGTACCTAAACTATACAATAGCTTCTAATTTAAAATTAACATTGTTGAGTACCTATTCCTGTTATTAAAATATAATATTACTACCAAATAGCAAAGTCACATGGCTTCTAACATGTGAAAATTAAATCACAACTAATATTTAAAATCAATACGATTTGGCCATATATTATATAACTCAATTGATCCTTAAGCATAAAAAACTACTATCCAACTATCAGGAAATCAACAGTCCAAGCAAATACATGCACGTCATAATTAAACCAATTACCTTAAAGAGATTATAGTCAATTTATACAATGGAGTACACTAATGAACTAAATCAGAAATAACAATAAGCAAATATTATATCCCATAGAGGAGTATTTCCCATGAACCCCCAAAACAACAACCAGGTACTCGGCACAACCTCGAGATACCAAAAATAAAACGGACTGCATCCTCAGTCTCGCAAAACAAAATCAACTATCTAGCGATGAAGATCAATTATCTCCAACATAAAAATTATAAGCTAATGGATGGGTTCATTATCCAACCAAGAAAATCAAACCTCTTAGGATATTATAATTTAGCACATTGTACTTTGGATATCACGATATAACTTAATCACATATATCAACTAATGGTGCATGATGACGCCTAACCAACTATTAGTATAGAAATATAATATCTAATGGAGGACAATTTTCCATGACCCCGGGACAAACAAAATATCTCGGCAAACCATCGAGATCCAAATAACCATAATCAATATCTATCATATAACTAAGTTACGTATCAACCAGACAGCATCCAGCATGACTGGGTGACTACGACAATAAAATCAACTACTCTACACT